CAAGTGTTATAAAATCCAACATCAAGTGTTATAAAATCTTGAATTATGGTGGATGTCCATCACCACCAAAGGAGTAATGATCACTACTCTTCTCTATTATCTCCATAACCTTCCCCATGATCTTCTTCCATGATCTTCCTCTCAAATTCTTAATGACATATTCAATGACATATTTATGTAGTGATCATTCCACTCAATAGTGGTCATTTCACTCACTATTTTACAATATTAATTCTTCGTTTTTCATACCTATATAAAAATCGCATAATAAATAGGAAATATAACACAATTGAAGAAAAAAATCTCTTCCTTCACTATTTTTCTTTCTTGTTTATATTTTACTAAATTGCTTTTATTACGTAAGAACAAATAAAATAAGATAATGATTCATGGGCAATTGGGACCAAGCAAGTTGGAGAAGTATAATGTCCGGTAAATGGCAATATAACTGAAAACTTACACTAATTGCCACGGCCCCAATTTAGAAAATATCAATGGCTACTGCCACTGGTCTTTGCTTCCTTAGAACTTCTCTGTTTCAAACCTTTTCTTTTACCTCTAAACCGCACTCTGTTACTCTCTTTGACAACAAAGTTCATTCTTTTCATCTCAGAGCAGTAAATGTAACTCTCTTCTCTTAAAAAGTTTAACACTTTGTACTTGCAATTTTCAAGATTTCGTGATATTCTGAGAAAATGAACTTCTGCTATTTGGGGTTATTTGTCATCTTGGTTTTTCTTATTTTGTTAATCACAGATAGAAGGAAGTGAAATTGAAGGTAAAGAGGAAGTGAGTATCAGTGAAAAGAAGAGAATATTTGTTGCAGGTGCAACTGGGAGCACTGGGAAGAGGATTGTTGAGCAGCTTTTGGCTAAGGGTTTTGCTGTCAAGGCTGGGGTTCTTGATATTGATAAGGCTAAATCAATCTTATCGGGTCCAAACCCTGACCTTCAGATTGTGAGTATTGTTTTATTTTATTTTTAAAATTTTGTATAGAATTAATAGATAATTGCTCAATCAGTAGATGATTAAGCAGTAAAGTATGGTACTATATAGGTCAAATGTTAAGCACAGAGAGGATTTTGCAATGAGGCCTAGTTTAATAGGGGAAATGCCTTTACATTTCATCTAATATATTTTGGGTTATTTGTCCAATTCTATTTGCATTTTTTGTCCTTCATTTTGAATAAGTTTGTAATCTTTTTTCTCTCTCGTGATTTCTTACTTATACTTCATCCTCTGAAATAGCTTGTTTTGGTCGGTGTATTCAGGTAATACTTTTAGTTTAAATTGAAATGGATTAAAATTGGAGATTACCTCAAAACTTTTAAAATGTGATCATTTAGCATAAAGGTGATTACATTTTACCCTCTGAGCAATTGATATTGCAAATTGTATAGAAAAGATCAAGGAAGAAAGGTAAGTGAATAGCTTAACTTTGGAGTAATAATGTTCAGTTAAGTTTTTGAATTATTGTTACGTGAAATCAACTCTATTATGTTATTTTCAGGTTAAAGCGGATGTCACAGAGGGATCAGCAAGGCTAGCTGATGCCATTGGCAATGATTCAGATGCAGTAATATGTGCTACAGGTTTTCGGCGTTCATTGGATTTTCTGGCTCCATGGAAGGTTAGTTAGCAACCTTGGTCATACTTACCATATGTAGTTTGAAAGAGATACTGATTGATCTGTTTGGATGTTCTTTATGATAACATGATTTACAGGATATGCATATTGATCCAAGGAAAAATAAAAGAACCAAACACACACAACACAAACAATTAAAGAAGGAAGTCCAGTTGGGCTTGTTAAGAGTCTGAATTCTATTTCAGTTAGACAGTTTCTTAACATGATGACACGTTTTAAATGGGTGCTAGCCATGGGCTCATTCTTCGGCATTGAAAGAAATTATACCAAGTATTTTTTGTTCTTTTAAAACTCACAATGGAGATTTTTGTGAATATGCTACCACAAGATATGCTACTGAAACTCAATGCCGTAGATTTGCTCTTTCGCGTTAAAGAAACTTTATTCCCTTGAAGATTTGTTACATTCCAGAAAAGAAAAATGGAGGAGTGAACAGTTTCATGTTTCTAAGACTTCATCTTTTTTGGTTTATGGAGAACATTTTCGTTCTTTTCTCAGAAACCAGGCAAGTACTAACAATTGTTTCTCTGGTGGGATTGTTGGTGTTAATTGTGTTTTTTCTTTTTTGTTGCTATTTTTTTCTTCCTGTTATACCACCCTTTAAACTAGTTCCAGGTTTACTCAAAGCAATTTCAAATACAGACATTTTAGGTCCAATATCACTTTTAAGGCCATAGCTCCATAAGAATCCTTGTTATAGCGCCTGGAGAACAGGAATCATGAATGGCATGGTTAAGTAGGTTAAGGCCTACTAGGTTGAATTCAGAACAGACTTACTGTCAGAAGACCAAGTGTTGTTTTTTTGAGAATGGTAACATTTTATATATTTGTAGCACGAAGGCTGTGCTAAAGCCATCTATACAGATATCTAAAAAGAACAAAAACCATAGCTATCTTCTATCTCCTACTACAGGGATCCTATGATATCTATCATTGAATCAAAATCCTGTACAAAATCTTCCTTACACCAAAAGTGAAACAACAAAAGACAGTTCATCTTAATCTTCTGTAAGGAGTTGCTGTTTCCTTCAAAACATCTATTGTTTCTTTCCTTCCGAATGGTCCACCATATGCATCCTGGGATAATCTTCCACCACTTATTGGAAGACCAGGTATTATTGAAACTGCAATTCATGTTTCAGGTTTTATGAAAGAATTCCTTGCCTGTAAAATAAAAACACCAGACTTGATTTCCTTCCCTAGCCTTTAGCTGGATTGAAAATCGTGTAATTGAGGTTCTGCAAAGCAGCATAAAATATAATGGCCAAAAATTTAGTGGATTCAAAGGAACAACCATTGAGTTCGAACGTTCTAAAGAAAAACAGCCATTGAGTTCTGATGTTTGCTTAGGTGTTGAATGCTCAAGGCACTAGAAATGTTGAGAGGCTTTTCGTTTGCTTTCAAGAAAAAAACTGAACTTCCCGTAAAGATGTATAGAGTGCGAAACATATCACCTTTACGTTTCCACCGCTTGAGTTTACCTTAAATTTGTATTTTAGATCTATTCTGTTCCTTCTCTTTTATAGCCAGTAGCGCCTCTGTTGATATTTTTCTATCCAGATCATTGTTCTCACGACTTTCCCTTGGTTATACTAATTACTCTAGTAAATTATGAAGCAAAATTTTATCAGATATTCGTAGCTCTTCCGCGTCATTGAGGTTGACATGTTGGCCCATCTATTGAATCTTGCTGCATTATCTTCTACTTGTTTAACCCCTAGTATACTCATTCTCTTAGGTTGATAACTTTGGGACAGTGAACCTTGTTGAAGCATGCCGAACACTTGGTGTTAAAAGATTCATCCTTATTAGCTCCATTCTGGTCAATGGGGCTGAAATGGGCCAATTGTTTAATCCAGCATATGTATTTCTCAATGTTCTTGGATTGACATTGGTAGCAAAACTCCAAGCTGAACAATATATTCGGAGATCTGGGATCAACTACACAATAGTAAGGCCTGGTGGGCTAAGAAATGATCCACCTCAAGGAAACATTGTAATGGAACAAGAGGTAGTAATATGCAGCTCTCATTGTTGTTTTCCATGTCTAGTTATATATGTGTCAACCTTATTTTCCTAAGATGCTCATTGTTTTTCCTCATAATGTAGGATACCCTATATGAAGGCTCAATATCTAGAGATCAGGTAGCTGAAGTAGCAGTTGAGGCATTACTCCATCCAGAATCTCATTACAAAGTCGTGGAGATCGTAGCTCGTACTGATGCCCCTAAACGTTCATTCGAGGAACTATTTGGTTCCATAAAACAGCACTAACTTGTCAAGATGATGTTTTCTAAGTTTATACACATTATTTATAAATATAGTTACTTGAAGAATGAAGACCCCAATGTAACAATTCTATTGTAACAAAAGATCCTTCACTTTTCTCAGGTTCTTGTGCTTTTACAATGGTTAAAGGTCTGTAGTTGAACACTGTTTTGTTATATTGCAGGGAAACCTGAAACTTTTTTGTAGTTGCGTCGTCGTAATATTTCCTAATAATCCAAAGTTTTACAAGTTGGAAGTGAATTGATTAAAACATTAAAAGAGAGCTCCTCTCTTGTTGCATGCTCTTAAACTTGTCTGCTAATTAGGACTTTATAATCTTAAAGCTACCTTTTCTGGCTTACTTTAATTTCAAGACCAAATCTCATGGTTTTTCAATAGAAGGCAAAAAAATACCGGCCAAAATACAAAATTGGCCAGTCGGTCGAAACTAAATGCTTAGCTAAGGTGTATAAAATTATACCTATGTATTTATTATATATACAAAAAATATATATTTTGCCGGCTATTATTTTTGGGAGAGACTAAAAATATATTTCCCAAAAATATTTTGCAAAAACAACATGCACAAAGCACGAAAAATATAACAATAGGCACATGTATGATAACTTAAGATGTTCAAAAGGTTTGACTCCAAGTTTAGGCGTGTAATTGATAAATAGTGCTAAGTTGACGTGGCTATCGTTGTATACCAGAAATTATAATGAAATCGAATTTGCAACCAAGGATATTCTCTAGTTAGCTTTACCATCGAATAGGAATAGTTGCAATATCTGATCCATTTGTAAAGTGCCGCACTTGGTGTAGAGCAGAAAATGTTCAGACGGTACTTTTGTATTACAGGTTAATAACATCGTCTAAATATTAATTGAAACAGGCAATAAGAGTTGCAAAACTTATAAAAGAGAATGACTTTGTCTCTTTTCCTATCTTGACAGGAAAGAGTTCGCGTGGAGATAACATTTTCGAAATCGTAAGATAACTTAAAACATTAGAAAACGTTTTCTTAAGAATTTTTTGTCGCCGTACCAAATACACTCAATTCTAGTGCAAAAAACAGAAAGAAGACCTAGATATGATCGACCCTTTCATTTGATGGACCAAAAATATAATCCCTACTTATAAAAAGAATTACATGTACCCGAACTGGTAGTAATCACATTCCTTGGTGGAAGAAAAATACAGTAGTAACCAAAAAGGCACTAGTAAAAAGAATCAATCAGTATTGACATTCGCCCTCATCAATGAACTTTAATGCTGCCGTATATGCCATAAACCCTACCTTGATCGCATTACGCAAAGCAAGAATCTCCAGTTCATCTTCATTTGTACTAGGAGGTCCAACCACAACATTGGGAATATGTTGAAGTTTGTGAAAATCTGAAGTTTGAAGCCTAGCACAAAATTCTTCAGGCATTCCTCGAATCTCCAGCTTCTCAAGGTTGGTCAATGATATCAACTCTTCTGGGAGCATCCTCAACGAGTAGCAGTCGAAGATCTGCAGGCGTTTGAGTCCTGCCATTGCACCTTTCCCTAGCTTCATTTCTGTCATAGTTAGTAGTTCCACCCTGAGAAACATGAGCCCACGGAACCCATTCTCTGATATTGTTAGACTGTCATAGTGTGTCCTTTTATCAAAAGCGTTAACTAGTTTTACAACTGACAGGTTGGTTAACTTCTCCAACACTTGGATTGAATCTGGATGGAGCTTGGAGTTCACCAAAGTCAGCTGACAAAGGTTGTGCGGAAATACACAAGGATGAGCTGGCATTGAGGCTAGTCGTCCCTTCAACTTAAGCTTGACAATATGACTCACCTTAGATAAACCAGCAACCAGAGAAATTTGCGAGCTACCCTCTACTTCCAAGCACAAGGACTGAAGGTTTTTAAGCTCCGCAAGTGAATCACACAATCGATCCATGTCTAGGTCATGATCATCTTGAATGAGTAAACCAACTTTCTGGAGATTAGTCATTCTTGTCAGGTTTTCATTATGCATCCAGTGCTTAGCAGGTATGCTGCCTAGAATTTGGAGATTGTTGGGTAGGTCAATCTTCAATAGGCTCGGGGAATTTATGTAACCAAGTAGATGCCGCAGATTCTCTAACTTCAACAAGACATTAGGAACCAGCACAGAATAATACCTAGACATGGGCATATCAATCGTTTCCAAGTTTTTCAACCGACTTATCGAACGGGGAAGCTTCTTTATGCGTGTCTTCCATCCTATGCCTAAGTACTTCAAGGAATATAGTTTTCCGATACTATCTGAGATAACTTTTAAACCAGGAGAGTCTATGTATAGCACTTTGAGAAGTTTAAAACTACTACTTGTACAAATACGATCAAGGTATGGTTCAGCAGATGATGAATCAAAGGACAGAAGAGATCTTATATACGTTTTTGAATTTCCCAAATAATCGTACCTCTCGAGTGGACAGTAAAGGACATGGTGTCGAGATTGATCAGACAGGACGGTAGATATATTATCTGCATTCTGATCATGGACCTGGAGAAATATTTCTTCCTTTGCTTTCATGATACAAAAGTCTCGCAGGAGATCGTGGAGCCGGCAACTTCTAACTCTGTCATCTGCTCTAACAAGGATCACTTGAACCATATTTCTGCCAATGAGCTCATCAAGATAATCCTCCGCAATGTCCTCTAATCTCTGTTGTTCTCCCAGATTTTGATGAATAAGACCATGGGAAATCCATAGGTTCTTGAGCTGCTGCACAGAAATGTCTCTGTCTTTTCGAAGAAGGCCTAAATAGAGAAAGCAAGATTTCAAGTCGGGAGGTAAGTCATGATAACTCAACGCCAAAATTGCGGATACGCCATAAGTTTGGCTTCCTGCAAGGTGTGAGCTGAGGTTTCTCTTTAGCCTCTCCCACTCACTTCTTTGCTTCTTCTTCCCAGCTAAGACGCCTCCTATAACAGTGATTGCCAGTGGCAAGCCATCACATTTTTCCAGAATCTCTTTCCCCAAGTCCACCAAGTCCTCTGGACACTCTCTTTCCTCGGGGAATGATTTCTTGAGAAAGAGTTCCCAGCTCTCCTCCTCGTTCAATACTTTAAGTTCGTACGGTATAGTATGGGCATCTGCGTGCAAAGCAACCTCCTTTATGCGGCTGGTAAGTAGCAATCTACTTGACTTATCATTGCCTGGAAATGACCTAGCAAGAAGATCCCATGCTTCTTTGGTCCAGATGTCATCAAGAACAATCAGATAGCGTTTTCCTTCCAAGCGCCTTTGGAGCATTTCCTCCAAGCCAGCCACTGATAATTTGTCCATTGTTTTCACAATCTTCACTTTATCTTCTTCTGGATTTGCCAGTTGTAAAATGAGTTCCTTGATGATCTTCGCGGGTTTATAATCTTGGGATACATAAACCCATGCCTGACAGTCAAACTGGTCTCTGATGTGAGCTTCGTTATAAACTTCTTTGGCAAGAGTCGTCTTACCGAGGCCACCCATACCCACAATTGAAGCAACACGAAGCCGTTTGTCCTCCTTTAGAAGGATTGACACGACGGCGTTCACATGCTTCTTTAGGCCAACAACATCCTTATTGGCAACCAAAGGAGAGGAGCGTCGCAATTCACGCATCTTCTCGCGTGTTGTGCTCGACCCTTCCCCAATTCCGAGCCCTTGATATGACATGATGCCATATCTCTCCCGGCTGTTGGATATTTCAAAAATTCTGCTCTGAATCGACTCAATCTCTTTCCCTACTTTGTGAAGCCAAAATAGCTTCTTAGGGAAAAGGGCACACTTAATGAAGAAGCTCTTTCGTTCTAGGGACGCAACTTGGTAGATGAATATTTCAATCACATCCTCAGCATGGTAGGCAACTGATCTGATTTCAGATACCCAGTTGCGGATTGTTGCGGATTGCTCTTCCACTTGCTTCATATCTGCATCCTTCAGGAAACACTTCATCCGAACAAGCTCGTTTCCCACTCCTTCAACTTGTTCCTGGACATTTTTCAGGAAAACTACTTCTTCTTTGAGAAGATCAAAAAGCCGCTCTGCAACAATCAACCGGATTGGGACGATCAGGTCGGTTGAGGGCAGCAGCACACCAATAGGTGGATTGCCATTCTTGTACTGTTTGGGTAAAGGGCAGGAGCGCTCTTTCCCTCTCACCAGTACTTACTATAAGGGGTGGGGCAACCGGTTAAAACCAAATATCCAACAGCCGCTTTCCTTAATGGCTACCCGCTTTCGAGTGAACTGAACTCTTGGACTGGCTGAAAGGGAAAGGGGAAACTGTACAAGGTATTTTTCACTCGTTTACGGGACCAGTGTCAAAGGAAAGGATTGTTGCACTCTCTTGCTTGAATGAATCGACATTTGTGGATGCTTGTTCATTCGGGATTCTTCTATCTATATTTAGAACTACTGGATCAACTACTCCGGCTTTTAGCCTTTGGANGGAAACTGCTGCTTCAGCCATCTCTGGTTTTCTTTCACTCTTTTTTTTTCTTTTTTGTTGCTTCTCTCTTTAGTTTTGCGGAACAATATCTTGTCGCTGTGCTTCGAACTTTGTAAAATATATTTTCAACCCCACACTTTATTTTTGTGGGATCCTATTACCCCAAACTTTTTTTGACACGAAATAAATACTTTCCTAAAGGTAGACAACCAAACTCAGGTATGAACCACACGATCTCCCATGTATATTTAGTATTTTTTTTATTCTTTCTTTCTTTTTCTTTTCCTTTTCCTGTTTTCTTATATTTCTTATCATTCTATTAGTGTTTTTATTTTATTTTTTGTTTTTTTTAATCTCTTTCTTTGTATTTTGCTCACCGGCAGAACAAAATCGTGATCGTCCGGATTTCAAGGATGCCACATATGTAAGTGTGATTTATACGTGAGAGGAAGAGAAAAAGAAAGAATATAAGTTGAAAAAATAATGAGCTCCTAGAAAACTCGCTGGCAATCAATAATTAAATTCTTTTTTCTCGTTCTCTTTTTTATGTAAATTTGATTAAATAAAAATAGGATTCCCCTCCCCCGCCTCACCACCTGAAAAGGCATCGAAAAACGTGACAAGATGACAATTTTTTGACAACCAACAATTAAATCCTTCTTCTTTTATTTTCTGAGTCTTTTCTTGTACACTTGATTAAATAAAACCCTTATTCAAACTTCTGCTTCAACAAAAAAAACTTAAAGAATAAAATCTGAACTCGATCTCGCTGGAGAATATGGAGAATGTTGGAGCTAATTTCTGACCAAATCTATAAGTATCGAAACTGGAGGAAAGAAAAGGAAAAGAAAAAAAACAAGAGAAAAGAAAAAAAAAATAATAGAAAAACAGCATTTTATAAAAATATTACTCCATAAAAATAAAATTTCAAGATTCTCTCTCTTTCTTACTCTCTTCTGCCACATCAGCACTAATGGTATACTAATTCCATCTAAAAAAGTTCAAAGGGGTAATAAGACCTCCGTAAAGATAAATTATGTAGTAAAAGTCCGGCTATATATTAGAGGGACACTTATGCATTTTTTCGATAACTTCATGTTCATATCTTATATCTCCCTTTACATGTCAAGTTAAATAAGAATATGGCTAACCTAGGGGCGACTCAACCAAATTGGTGGCCTCAAGCAAAATTTATTAAGAGGCCTTAAGCTTTTTTTAAGCAAAAAAAAAAAAAATGAATGTCACATGTGTACTTTTATTTAAAGTAAATTTTTTAGTTTTAGGATGTAAAGTTGTTAATAAGTTTTCACAATCGATTCTCTTTTTATATATTTTTTTAGTTGACAATTTACCCAATTCATCTAATTTTATTTAATGCATTGATTATATCCTCCTTTTTTGATATTGTATTGAAGTTCAGTTTTTCACTTCTTATTTATTGTGTGTTTTGAGTAACATGATTTATATCTTTTAGTGGACGTGTTTGTATTCTAATATTTGATAAAAAGTAATATACACCTATAAGTAAAATTTACCAGAATGTAAATTTAATTATAATATAATAGAAAGTTAGAATAATATAACCTGATTCTAGAAGTTGATAACTTGATATCACTACAAGATTTTACTACTTCAGTTCGCTTGTTGCAGTGCTTGAAAACTTTAAGATAAAGAAAAGAAATGCACAATTTAATTTATTCAATGCCCTTGCCCTTATTTTTGAGAGAATATATAGCTTAACAGAAAAAAGTAAAGTACTCGGTACAAGTTTTATTGCTTATGAGAAAGGAGAAAAAAAAGAATATTGATATTAGAATGAAAATTTTCAACTGCCACCAGCAATCACATGGCTAGATGGTTTTCTTTCATTTTTTAATAAAACTCTTATATTATACTTTTTTTATCATTCAAGAGTCAATACTAATATTTTGTTAAGAAAAATTAACTATAAAAACAACATTATTAATTGAAAAATGGGGCCTCAAAAGTTGGGGACTAAATCTTTGCTTTATTGGCTTGACCCTCCGGCCGACCCTGCTAACCTGTGGACACCAGCTATATACTTCAAGATAGGAAGGAGTCATCTCATTTTGGTATTGTTGTTTTTATACTAAAGTATGGACGCTCACTTTTCTTTCTAGAGCGGTTGAGTTTTTCACTGTCATTAGTACAGTTTAAAACGAATCAAAGAAAAGCATGAAAATAATTAACAAGAGCTAAAAGTCAGAAAAGAACATAAAAGGATGCATCTGAACCAACTATCACCGGTAAGTTGCACCAAATCAATATCAAATTTAAAATAAATTGCAAAACTAAGTAAGTCAACCACTATTTGCAATGGCCAACACAATTTTCGAGCATTCAATTTGTTCAGGTATCAAGTTGGGAAATATAGCGGAAAATTAAAATCACCAGCAATAATTACACTAAGATCCACTTGTTTTAAGACATCACAAAACCATATCAAATTACTATAGTAAGTAATGTGCTTTAATCATGTGCTCGTGTTGCTTGGATTTACTATCCATTTGTCGCTAGCCAAATGATAATAAACTGGACAGGATAGAATGGAATAGCAAAATATCACTTGTTGTGGGTCCTATAACCCCCTGCATTAAGGGGTCCTATAACCCGAGAACGAACCTAAATATGGTATTTTTGGACTCAAAAGATCGAAATAAATGAAAAAAATTTAGTGACCAAACTATATATAGCGCCCTTTTAAAGGGCGCTATACTTTAACGTCCGTTTTGGACGTTAAGGTATAACGCCCTTTAAAAGGGCGCTATATGTGAAGCTGATTAGACGTCTATGCATAACGCGATTTACTAAGGCGCTATATGTATAGCGCCTTAATAAACCGCGCTATACATGTTCAAATACTCGTCCCTTTCCCTTCCCCCACGTTCAAAACAGATTGCAAACTCCTCCTCCCCCCCCCCCCCC